CTCTCTCTCCTCTCTTTCTTCCTATATATATATTTTTTTTGAGATTGTATTTAGTGTAATTCCAAAGGAATTTATATCAAAATTATTTATCAAATTAAGTTCTATCAAAATGAAAAATAATCTGTGATATGAAATGCTCTGTTTTTATTTATGCTTTTTATGTTAGTTTCCTCATTAAAGAAGACAAAACAAAACTGAGTTTATGAGCCACATTTTATCAAAATACAAGTTGCTTTCCACTATCTTCATATTTTTGAATTAGTACCAAAATCTGTGTTTGTAAATGGAAGTTAATATCATTAATGTTATTTTCATGATTGTCATTAGTATCCTCCTTTTTCATATATTCTCTTAATGCAACTATTACTCTCTATATTATTAGTAGTAGTAACAAAGTTCGTTATGCATTTTACTGTGGTAAATTTGTTAATGTCAATAGACAATACTATTTGACAAATGAGAATGAATATCATCACAATACAAGATATGTATTTGACTGGCTTTGTATAAATGTTTATCAGAAATACATCTCTTGTATTGGGAATATATTCATTCTCTCTTATACCTTTTCTATATTAGATGATAGTAGTTTTATCATGTGTAATATTTTTCTTGCAGACTCGTATGGGAGGTTCAGGCTCCAACTCAACACAGGACTTCGAGGAGGCTCTCAAGGAGGCTGAAGGAGAGAAGGCTGCCCTGGATGCTGCTAATGGTGGAACAGTGCCAGCATCCACCACTCCAGGCACTGATGTCAGCCAGCCTGCTGCATCATAAACCACTTCCTGCTACCATCACCACCACTAACACCTGCACTTTGCCACCCACTGCACCCCATCACCACAGAAAAATAGATAATGATAAGAGTTTTATGGATATATGAGCCCTATAGACTACTATCAGATATCAGTATTCTATGATTTGTAGCTTTACTTTTAAACTCATTAGTGGGATGCATAATTTCTTTAGGTTCAAGATGCCATGAAAATGTAGATTACTTTAGGTTACAATCTTTGGCTAATACTGTTACTACTACGACAATTTCTAGGTCATAATGATCTGTAGGTGAAGTTTAGGTCCCCAATCAGAGCTTTCAGAGTTAAGGGCATGATTAATTTCATTATGATTTCTTGGTCTAGGGCATGATTTTCTTCTTAGGGTGTGTACTACATGCCCATTATGACTTATGGAAATAATGCCACCTTTGGCTGTTTCAGAGATCAGATGCAATATTTGAACAATAACAGTTTCACAGACGTAGGTTTCATAGCTAAACTTTTTTTTCCAAACATATGTTAAAATGCTTCCATTACTGCATCTGTTTTTATAAGGATAGGGGCCATAATAAAAGATAGCCAGAAGTGGAGAGTTGTCTCTGAAAAGGGTGAGTACTGTCAGCTTGCAGTAAGAACAATGCAGTGATAAAGGCAGAAATGTGTAATTTATTTGAATTTGCCTGAAAGCAGAACAGACTGTGGTATTCACAGCTTTAAGATGACTCCCACAGACGTCAGAGGTTATCCACATTATGGTGCATTAACCAGTGACCAAAGGTGTAGGGTGGCTTAGGTACTAATTATTCATAGGCTGCCTTGTTAAAATATATCACTAAAATTGTGGAATATAGGGAAAATCATATTAAGTTATTCACAGTTGATGTTGATAAGTTTCCTACTCCTTATGCAGTTGAGTTAACTTTAGAATACTGTCTGTTGTTACATGAATTATATGGATATTGATACAAGTGTGGATGTTACAGGAGATGTGAGGTTGAATTTCATGTTCCATGTAATCTCTCTTTGATTATTATTTGATGGTGTGAATAATTTAGTATAATGTCTCCATAGTATAAGTGTTTGAATTTTATAGTGGGATAGCATTATATTATATTCTTTTTGTATTATTGTGTGTTTTAACCATTATTTGTATTTAAGTTTTATAATCTCATGATCTGAATGTGATTAGGTGACTGCACTAGATTTAACAAACAAATCAGTCAGGAGATTGAGTGATCACTCCTTTCATGGCTTTAGTAAACCTAATAAAAATTTCTCATATAATAAGTGTAAAATTCAATCATTTCCTAACAACTGACTACTCAGTATGCAAACAAATGAATGTATGCTGTATTATCCTTCCACTGTAAATAGAGGATGTAAAAAGCTGTTCACTGACTTGCATTCTGAGTAGATTTAGGAAGTATCTTTGTGCTGAATAAGAAACATACTTTAGGGTTTGCCATATGTGAACTATTCCCAGGGAGTTCATATGGAAAAACCTTTATAGTAAATCCCCAGGAATGAGTAGACCCCATCAGTATAATGCTGTGACATTCCCATACTAGACTGTAGTCAACACTCCAGGTCTCCACAAAGCTGTGTTAGCATGAAATGTTTAATGTTATATATAATATTTATTTTTTTGAATACTTACCTTTAAAGTTTATTTTGTACAGATGCATTTTTCAAATTGTATGTGCAGTGTAACTGGAAAATAATTCAGCTAATATTAGGTGTATTTTCTTATAGTGAGACTGTAAAAAAAATCATATCATTATTCTATGTATAGAAAAGTTATTTAAGATTTATTAAAGCTTCTTTTACATGGGTGTCATCTTTGAGATACGGAGTAGAATTTTGATTTGGGTTAATTGTGTAGGCCTGGAGTTTTTACACCTTGTGTTGCTTGTGGAAGTAGGGGAAATGAGATGGTTGTTGTTTTTGCTGTTGTACTCCCAGTTATTTGAAATGTAGTTGGAAGAAAGGGTTTTGTTTCATTTTGAACCTTACAGATTCAGTTTGGGAAAAACAAGATCATTTGAAAAAAATAGCAGTTGTTAACAACAGTGTCTCCATACTTATATGTTGTTCTATTACCATTCAGTCAGATTCTGGGCTACTCATACACAGCCTGGTTGCAGAAATGCTTTATGAACAATATGAACATTTGTAGAGGGTAAAATTACTCTGCAGGAAAGCAGAACTCACTATGTTGTAGCAGACCATACTTACAGCAAGGATATGTAAGATACCCCATTTTTTGTTATTGAAAGTAATTTCAGCCTTCTTTTGAAGGAAATATGACTTAGATTACTACACTATTAACCACCTTGAGACGTGAAACCATCCAAAATATTTTGGAGTATCTTTGTGATGTTCATTGACATTGTTCATAGGACACCAATGTCCCCATTTCTGACTGGATTTTTGGGACAAAATTATTGTGCACAATCTTAGACAAAAAGGACATTAAGATTAGTGTTCTTAATTTTGTTTTAACAACTGTACCTTTGAATTTGCCATAATTTAGGGCTGATTGTTATAGGGAATACCATAATGGGCTGGCAAGTGTGATCTGGGCAATAAGGCACACATCACTTCAACCCATACCACCCTACCATCTATTTCGTAAAGACAGACAGATTGCTTAACCTCGCAGTTCACCCAGGGGAAGTACTTAGTAGGATTCATTTTGAGTAATTGAATTTTAACAAATCACAATTTGTATTAATCATATGTCTTATTAAAATCATTACTATTCTTGAAAGGTCTGTGTGTTGTTACCAGTGATTGTCACAGATGTGAAAGTATTACTTTTCTATTATGTTTTAACACAACAGAAGTATATATGAATATGTACATATATTTATATACTTGCCAATCAGGCAATTATGTCATAACCTGTGTAAGTTTTCCCCGAGGTGACTGAAAGGTTAAAGTTACTACTACTTTGGGAGGCTTATAAATTCTTGAGGAGAGCCATTTCTTTTTGGATCCGCTTTAAAACCGCTGTCGCTCTTACCGTTAAAGCGGGCTGCATGACCTCTTTGACGAGTGTTCCAAAAAAAAAATAATATTTACAGAGTTCATTTGAAAGTTTCTCCGCAAGGAATAAAAAAAGGACAGTGACCGCAAGTCTCATGGTCGCCGTAACTTCTGTTGCCTGACTTTGTCTTCCCGGCTAGAGTGGACTTGTTTAATATTCGTGGAAGGCTAACTCGCACCCTTTTGAGCAGAGGGCTGGCCCGACTGAGCAACGAAGCGGAATTAGACCTCGAATTAACACGGAACATGTGTAGGTACGTTCCAGGTTTGAGCAATCACACCTAGTTCAGCTCCAACAGCCCTTTCAGTTTTCATACCCTGATAATGATGGGAAGCTCGGCCTAGGAGAATTCTTTACCTAAAATAAACTGGCTGACAAACTTCATGAAGTTTGAAAATGCGAAACTCTTTAACGGTTTGGTCATACCAGACAGTGGTTTCGAGAAAACATGTTGACTCTATTGCTATGAAAGATAGCCACTTGAAGGAATGAAGAACCAATGTGTATCCGTTATTCGTGGCAGAATTAACTGGACACGTTTTGTTGATGGCGAAAATAAACATAGACCGAGAATTCCCTTCTGTTTTTAATCTGATAACTTTATCGTGAAAATACTGTCGTTTAATGAAGAATGTATGAGTGAACACCACATGAGAGGCTGCAACGTGGAAGATTCAAACAATATTTAATCAGTTACAAATACTCGAAGTTAATAATATGATAAATAAGAGCTCATGGATACACGGCTGTCTCGAACTTATGCAATTCCTAATATAAGGTTTGGATGTAAAAAACAGTTTTTAAGCTTCGAATATGAAAATCTTAACATGAACAATTTCCAGTCCATCATGGAAAAACACGCATGACTGCTCCTTTATTATGTACAGATAGCCGTTCAGATTTCAGTCTTGCTTTACCGTATTTAGTATTTTGGATCCATTGGTTACAATCAGACGTCGCCGCCAACCAAACTCCCGATTGGTTGGGAAGATTTATGCACAGGAAGGGAACGCAACAAAGGAGGCCAGTGAGAGAAATAACTGCCAATAGGCAGAACATTGTTAGTCTTATAAACAAGAAAAAAATTATACATTTCCGCGTTTTTTTTTTCTTTCTTTTTTTTTTAAAGATTGAAACCAACCTCTCCTGAACTATCTCCATTACCAGTTCACCTTAAATTGCTAACGTATCTATATTTGCATCTGTACTCGCCGCATCCGTGTTCATCCATCTGCTGTTTCACCCGTCTTTAATGAAGGCGAAACTGAACGGCAATTTGCACACCGCAACGCGTCGAAGCACGTCCCCTCAGCCACTGAGAAATCCACGCGGCATGAAGTGAGGGAGAATAGGATTTTTTTCCGAGCTCTCTAAACACTGCTCACGCCATTCACCTTCCCAGGGAGGCAATGCGAAAGAAAGGGGGGGGGTCCTAAAAGCTTTTGATTCTTATTTCCTTACTGCTTGTGCACGGACAAGAAAAGTGTCTGAATCAAGGTTTACAGTTTCATCATTGTGATTAACATGATTTTTATAATAATTGTCATTATTTCTTATAACTTTCATAATTATTATCATGAGCAATCATTATCATTATCTATCATTATCATTATCAATCATTATCAGCAATAATTATCATCATTATCAGTATTATCATCATCATCATCGTCATCATTATTTTGATCATTCATTTATCTTGAATAATCTTACCTTCCGGGGTGGCAGCCGAAGCCGAGGCAGCCGCTCAACCTCCCCCCCTCCCCCTCCCCCGAGAGCCAATTTTCCCTTCGGCCGCCATCTTGAGGCCAACACGTCACGTATAGCCTTCCTTTATGACGACCATAAATTGACAAGCTAATCATTTTTCTTGTTACCCCGCGGGCCATTTATGACCACCTCGAGGGCCATATTTGACCATTACTTTAACACCTCTGATCTAAAGTATTCCCTAAGTGACATTTCCATAATATATTACCAAGGTTCAGAAAAAAGTGATCCAAACCATCATTTATCTCCTTGTAATTTGAAAGGAGACAGAATGGCTTGTATCACATTTAACTGTTCTGAAGACTTTACGACCCGCGGTAGAACAAGTGAGCATAAGCTTTTGTTGATATATAAATCTATTGATTCTTATTTAGATTATTTATCAGCTGTGCATTACTCGGAAACATCGGTCCCTATTGATAAGTTGATTGCATCTAAAATAGCTACTTGTCTTCCACCCACAATGAAAGACATATAGTGAAGTAGTATATCCTTAAAGGCAGTGTAGTGCGGCAGTTCAGTATTACAGCCTCTGCGCTTCGGTTATGGAGCTTGGGATCCACTCTCCGCGCGGGAAATCGACACAGCTACCTGGAGTTGGCGGCAGTAAAAGAAACATTGCTACATGGCGAGTATTCTTGGGGACGTAACTTCCGCGAAGCCCGTGTGTGTGAGGATGCGATCTGCCATCCTAAGAGAAGTTCGAGCTAAAGGTTTTAATTAATTGCCCCCCCCCCCCATCTTGCTCATTGTTGTCGTAGGGGGCTTAGGTGACGGGGACTGAGGACTGGAGGGGTTCACCGTACCTTTATCCTCAGCCCTAACTTTATGGTATTTTCTTTTCCTCCTTTCCTTTTCCTTTTCTTCTTCGTCCCCATCTTCTGTCCACTTCCCAAAGTGCGATGACAGAGCTAAAAGGATGGAAGGCCGGCTTGTGTCAGTCCTGAACGGCCTTCGTCCTCCGTTTGCTCTTCCCTCTCTACCCTCTTCATCACCATACTAACCAACGGCGCTCCACAGCCTTTGGCATCTAACATATTTTGTCCTAATCGTTAAGCCATTTTTACCGTTCTCACCACACATTTGTTTTGGCCATCAACCATTCTGGGAATTCACAAACATCGCCTTATAAACCAAAAAACTTCCTTACTCGGGGACTTCACCCCCAAGCGAATGACAAAGAGAGAGAGAGAGAGAGAGAGAGAGAGAGAGAGAGAGAGAGAGAGAGAGAGAGAGAGAGAGAGAGAGAGAGAGAGAGAGAGAGAGAGAGAGAGAGAGAGAGAGAAATATATTATGAAATCGGGAATAAAATACTGCAGCACCCTCCGCATCTCGTTCCAGTCACACGAGAGCCAGAACTCCACATTCTGCAAGGCTCGCCTGGCCTTCTCTGTCTCTTATCCGGCGACATAAACGTAAAACGCAGGACGGACGAGGGCGGAGGATCGAGCCGCTGAGATTGACGTTCCCTCTCGGCGTCCCTCTCTGCGTGGGCGCGGGGAAGGGAAGGCGACGGAGGGAGGAAGGGGAAGAAAGGATATGAAGAGGAAGAGATACGAAGGGGAATAAGAATAGAGAGGAAGAGAAAGAGAGAAGAAAATAAAGGGAAAGGATGTGAAAGAGAAAGCGATAGGGAAAGAGGGAGAGAACCTCTCCCTCTCTCCTATCGCCTAAAAGGGAAAAAGCAAATGCAAGTCATTCAGTTTTCGCGAGCTTGCTTCCGGGACTCGAATCACAGCTCAGCGAAGAGGCGAGACCCGTGAGCCGCAACCGCTCAAAGCGGATTGCAGTCCAATAGGAAACGGGCAATATCATGTACTGAACCCTGTGTATTCAACACGGAAATAGTCACAATAAAATCCAAATCAACGAATGGAGAATACGTAACGGCTGGAACGCTTCTCTCCCAATCATACAGCTGCTGTTGCCAATAACGCGCCTTGTGGAGTGCACTTGTTCGAACGCCCGGCCACTTGTCGGTCCCGGCCAAGCGGCTCTCCAGGCCATAAATATTCAATATGCTTAGAATGAAATAGATTTATGCAAACAATAGTCACTCAAATACATTAACTGAATGTAATAATGAAGAGGTTCGCAAAAACAATTCATGCGAGGATGTAGAGGACGCCAGCGGTTCGCCCGGGGGTTGCGCCGGGGGAGGGAAAGGCGCAA